GTTAAGCTTTTCCAAATCCCGTAACTAGAACTCCAATCGTGATGAACTCTTTCATCTGGTAAAGCTGCAAATTTAGGCTTAGCGCTATAATATCTTGTATAATTTGCATGCATTCTTGAGAGTTCTAGCGGGTGGAGTGAGTCATCTAACACAACGCATCTACTCGATTGAATGTTCATGTAGACTGTCGCAGTTGTCTTTTCGGTGTCTGTTATGCGGTGGATATTTTGTCCGGGGTAGCTTCCGGCGTACGACCCCGGTCGTCAATGGCGTTGACAGCCACATGGATCTGCAACTAGGCTGCTCGGCACGCTGTTCAACTCCACACAATAGACCTTGGGTCTCAGCTGACACACCCCTTAAATCTCGTTCTCGGCATGCAAGGATCAGTCGGGCCCTACCTGGAAAGGGGCCGACGAAAACTTGATGTGTTCTTTATCACATTCCAGTTTTTTTACCTTAGTAAAGTACATACTGCCACTATGGTCGGGATAAGTCCCGGGCGCTAGAAATGGGCAGTAAATTCATATCAGATATCGAAATAAGTCCTGAGAATGGGTCCATTCTGATTCGTGATTGAGCAGCTAGGTTATATAACCCAACGGTTTACGTAGCCATCACTTAGGTTTCTAGGATTATCTTGGCTATCGCACCTTCAGTTCTTTGGATTCTTGTTCACGAAAGAGTTTGGGCTGGTCTCAGGCCCCAATTATCGACAACATGAAGTTCACTTCCATTTCTAGTCATCTCGTCATCCTTTTGGGGGCTTCTTTATGGGCTCCAGAGGCAAACGCCCTCTGCTCCAATTCTTCCCGATCAACCTTTAAACACCCTGGCCTACTTCACACTGCTAAAGACTTTGACCGCATCATCGGCCTCGTCAACGCCCAGAAGGAGCCATGGACGATCGGCTGGAGCAAACTCAAGACACGCGCAAACTCTGCTTACACTCCCAATCCCAAGGAAACGGTGTGCCGCGGCGGCGCAGGTCGCGAATGTAACCCCGAAAACTATCCGTCTCTCTACCGCGACGCCCACGCCGCCTACACCAATGCCATTGCTTGGAAGATCACCGGCGACGAGGCACACGCCAACGCGTCGGCTCGCATTCTTGATGCTTGGAGTGACTCGCTCATCTACATCAATGGCTCTTCCGACAAGTTCCTGGCTTCCGGTATCTATGGCTTCCAGCTCGCCAACGCAGCCGAGATCTTGCGTGGGTGGAAGGGATGGGACGGCTTGTCTGCGATGACCGAGATGTTGCAGAGAGTCTTCTACCCCATGAACCACAACTTCCTTGTCAACCACAATGGCGCATCCATCGACCATTACTGGGCCAACTGGGACTTGGCCAATATGTGCACCATGCAGGCTATCGGAATCTTGTCAGACAACAAGACTATGTACGATGAGGCAGTCAACTACTTTAAGAACGGTGCTGGTAATGGTGCCATCAAGATTGCTATCTGGGAATTGCATGAAGAGGAAGGGTCTGGCAAGGTCCTTGGTCAAGGTCAAGAGGCTGGTCGTGACCAAGGGCATGCTCTGCTGGACTTTGCTTTCTTGGGCGTTTTTGCGCAACAGTCTTACAACCAGGGTGATGACTTGTTTTCGTACCTCGACAACAGAATTTTGGCAGGGTAAGTAAGGTCTACTACAGTAACATGAGATGAACACTAACACGAGACTAAGGTCGGAGTACGCCGCCAAGTACAACCTCGGATTTGATGTCCCCTTTACGAACTTTACCAACAGTCACGGCACGGCTGTGAATATCAGCGAATCTGGACGTGGCGGACTTCGACCCATCTGGGAGCTGCTCTACAATCACTACGGTGTCATCAAGGGGCTCAATGCTTCTTGGACCGAGCAAATGCGCGACCACGTGGTTGAAGAAGCCGGTGGTGCCGAGGGAGGTGGCGGCGACTACGGCACAACCAGCGGCGGTTACGACCAGCTAGGATTTGGTACCCTTCTTTACAGATTGGAGTAGGATCGGAGCCAGTTGCTCTTTCTCTGGGATACTTCGGCTTGGCACTGATCTGCATCCCTCACGTTTTCTACCACCTTGGTAACCATCTTGGTAGCCACCTTCATTAGTTCCCATTTCATTGTCTCTTCGATTGCTCATACTGTCCTTCCAACAGCATATAATTTCTGTCTATATTCAATCATCATTCCCATATATAACATAAGATGTATTCCTCTACCTTCGTTCTTGATTTGGCCACTGTTTAATGCCTGGTTCCATCCCATGGAAGACGCATATACCCACATGGCCTACGACAACCTTGCCAAAATACATGTTTCTGAAGAACGAATCTTCCTTGTCAAGGCAACGATTCCATTAACGTAGACTATGCTGTTTCTGTCTTGCTTTGGTTGCTACGTTAAGTATGTATATGCGAAAATGCGACATATCCTAGATAGGTCAATAAGCCCATATCAACCCACCCCAGCTAGGATGATCATTACTCGTCAAACGGCTCTCAGCTCCGACAGCATGCTTAGCTTTTGTGATCCAAGGCGCTTCGAGCTGTCTTTTAACAACATACTGGTAGTACAGAATATCCCACATTGGATTCGTAGCCGTTACACCTCGCTTGTCCTGGGAGATGATTGCCCAAGGCCCATTGACAAGAACTGCGTCGCACCTATACCACTTTGGATCATACGAAACGGTCTCATTCAGATTGAACTTGGCCGTATACTCTGCACCTTTCAGAAGCAGGTTGTCGCCTTGACTGTAGAGGTCGGAACCTTGACTCTGAGCTACCCGCGCAGCCTGAGCGATCCAACCTAAGCCGGACATTGCATGGCCTTTGACGATCATCAGTCATCTTTGTCGTCGAAGAATAGAGGGTGACTTACTCTGGTCACGGCCGGACTCCGAGCTTTGGCCCGTCTCGGGGTCGAAGAAGGAGTAGAGCCCCGCACAGGGATTGTTCAAATACTCATTGATGGCATAATTGTAGAGAGTAACATCGTCGAGGTAGACAGCAAAGCTCAGGAGCGCCTTAATACTAGCCATTCCGTAGTTTGCCTGACCAATCGGGATAGACTGTCGTGAGAATAGCCAGTAGAGCTGGATGCTGAAGCCAGACCCGCCTTGCCAGCGTGCTCCAGACTCGGTCCAGTTCCCCTCCCAGCGCATGATCTCCGCGGCATTTACGAAGAGATCGCCATCCAAGCCAATGAGGAGGGACCGGTCCGTGCCGATAATGTCGACTAACGTAGACCCCCAGCTATCCAAAATGGTCGTGCTGCGGTTCCAGTGGGCGTCATCTTTGGTGATGTACCACATCAGGGCATTCTGCCATGCGGCTCGGGCGTCAGAGGCGAAGGACGTGTAGTTGCTGACGCTGCCACGCGAGATGACCGGCTTTGGTCCCTTCATTTCATAGGTTGACAAGCTGTAGCTGTCCTTGCTGAAAACGGCATAGGTTGACGCCCAAGGATCTTTGTCTTCGAGTATCCCATTGCGGATGCGCTCTAGATCCTCGTGCGTGTGCCAGATACCGGGATGAACGAAGTCACTTGGCCGGCTCTTGAGGTATGATGAGATATCACCCACGGGAGACGCGGATACAAGTGGCACTGACCCAAACACACCAGGAATGTCGGCTACCGTGGCAAGGCATGGCTGTGCGAATATAGCGACCCATGGCAGAGCTGACAGTGATGAGAAGACCTAGGAGTCATGAGCACATTACCATTTCGAGAATCCTGAGCGGGACCTACCCTCGTCATGTTGCAACTGGTGAGAAACAGATTCAGTAAGCGGATCTTTGGAGTAGATCGATGCTGAGTCGTGGAATTGGAAGCTCCGTCTCGTCATGACACTTCTGGCTGAGATCTTTTTGGGTATTTCATAGTGTTCACGGGGTACACCTTTGACTCCACCACAACCGGCGCCGGGGGAGGTTGCGGGCCGGGAGTGCAATGGCGAGAGTTCACGGCTTCGGAGATCCCCAGAAAGCCACCACGCGCCAGAAGTTCAACAACATCTAGGGTAAAATGCGGGGGGTTGCATTCACAAGTATCTTGCCGGGAACCAACGTTACTGCACACATCTTGTGATCCGTAAGGTTTGATATCCCTCGAGCCATCATCTTCACATATCGCGATTACATGCCATGTAGAAGGGCATACCGTCGGACTGTTATTGATGTTCCCCACAGAAACTTGTAGAGGCGGGGCATCTACCGGAGTTCATGTTAAACGCCCCGAGATTGCCTGGTCGGATCTGCTCACGTATCCGGTCAAGCTCAATACTCCATTCGTAAATCGTTATTTCTCGCATGGAGAGTCGCCAGGGATCTGAAACACATCATTAACATCACCAGTCGGTCAAGATCTCCACGCCGTCGTGGGGGGAAACTGAGTCTATGGGGCGAATAGAACAGCCAGCAGATCATCAGTCAGGAGAGAAGGGGAACATTGAGGGTGCTGGGTTGTGGCGCATATGGAAATTGTGATGAGTCATCATTGAAGCTATGCCAACGTCCATTGGACAGGTGCCCCTGGGAATGATCCTCTCCATCAGCCACCACCGCCACACCCAGCGGGCGCCCCAATTTCGCGCAACCGCTTCACGCACACCCTACATAAGCCGCAGAAGGTATCCAGGTCCTTCATCAAGGGTTGTATAGTGTAGTGGTTATCACTCCGGATTTTGATAACATCAAAATCGAACCTTTCCGGCAACCCCGGTTCGAACCCGGGTACGACCTCAATCTTTTGCTATCCTGCCTTTTGGTTCCCGACAGTGATGAGATACATGCATCTTGTTGCTTTGGGCGGATCGGTGATTAAGCCGAATCTTTTGGTGCCAAAATCTCCTTTCTTCACTTGTTTCTTCAACTAATCAGTAGCAGTGCCGACACGAAGGTAAATTAAAGTCTCAGCAAGACCAGGCCTGTAAGAAAGCCAATCGTCCAAATGTCCCAATATAAACGTATTTAAATGACTACAAAGCACGTGCAAATCAGGTCAGGTACCTATTCATCGGCCACAACTTTGCCGCAATTCTGGTTGAAGTCTGCAGGCCAGTCATTGCCGGGCTTGTAGATTCCTCCCCTACCACTACCACCGCCGCCTCCATTGCCCCCGTTCCCCGATCCTAGCCCCGAATCGGACCCCGCTGTCGCTCCTGGCCCGGATTCGCACTCACCAATCGGCGGCACAGCATCGAAATTGTTGACTTCCACATCCGGCCCTGGATTCGGAATCATGACGTCTCTCGAATCCACCGTCCTGCATCCATTACCCACGTTCGCTTTGAACATCTCCGGTCTTTTGTTGAAACTCTCACCATGGTCATGTCCACCTCCGCCTACGATGCTGATGATGTCGTAGTTCATGTACATCTCCCGATTTCCAAGTTTGTTGAACCACGTCCAGCCGAGCACCGCATGGTCAGAAGACGGCGTGTCGTCTGGCAGTCTGAAACCTAGTTGGGTTGCATCGCCCCTTGGGCAGCCGCCGATGATGCTGCGGAGAACCTTGAATGAATTGCCGCCGTCTAGTGAGAGGCTGATTTGGCATAATCCTCCTGCGTGCACAGCATGACCAGAAATCGTAACAGAGTAGCTATTGCCGGCAGTCCAATTGTTGACGGGCGCCGCCTGTGAGGTGCCCAGAAGGCTCAAGTAACCCTTGCAAGGAAAGTCAGAACCGCTTGAGGATAATGGGGTGTGTAGCTGTAGTTGGCATTCTCAGGTGAGGTGTTCGGATTTCCTTTAGCTTTGATTGGGGGCGGGTCAGTCATGGCCATGTGTGCATAACCTCTGCCGGCCATGAACATTAGGCCGAACCAGCATCTCAAATGCAAAGCGCGAAGCCTTTTGTTGCGAAGTGGAAGAAAGTAGATTTTCTTTCTAGCAGCAGTTTCAGTGACTTGCTCAACTTGACCTTTGTCTTGTAGGGTTCGAACTTTCTATCAGAGATGCTATCGCATCCTATGCTGCAGAGTGAAGAGTCTTCGCTTAAGAGCCTGTATAGAGAAATCAAATTCGTGAATGAGCCGATTTTCGAGGGCCTACTTTGATTCATCTGTATTCGAATAATATTGGCGGCTTACAGTGAACGAAGATTCGAGTCTCCTTGCGAAATCAGCATCACAACACGCCCGAAAAGCTAAAGCCACAGACCATTCCTTTGCCTTAGAACCGGACCGCATCATATCTCCATGATTTAGTCAGTTAGAAATGATGGTACATCACTTTTTTCTTATGTTTCAGAACTTCAAACGCCCATTTATTGAGTTACCCCAGATATTATGCCCTCGCCGCCCATGCAATCAAAGCAGCCCCAACTCCGCTACCGTCTCTCGCCATGCCGATCCTGATTCTCTTATCACCCATGACACCAATCTCTGGAATTTCTCTCAAAGCTTCCCTCAGATTCTCTTCAAAGTTAGGGAAATGTTCGATCAAAGAACCGTCAACCCCAACATCGATGATTTCGTTCGAGTCCTCGTCATCATTGTCCGCCTGAGAGCTATCCCCGTCCCCGGGTCTAGACAAGTCGCCCGATGTGCCCTTTGATGAAATCGTGAATCGAACTTTTACATGAAGCCAACTCGTAAGCAAGTTCCACAGGCTCCGTGCCCCATAGAGGAAAGGTCTGAGAAGGTTGGTTCCGAGACCTCGTGATATCGTCGCTGCTGGCTTGCTGACGCTTCTGGGCGTAAACAACCCAGATTGGAGAGCAACACCAGCGATTGCGACAGAAGATAGCCTGGCTGACCTACGCCCAATGGCCGCGGAAAGAATCTGTATAGCCTTTGCATCGTCCGTCGATACACCTGTAGCGTTGAGTACTCGTGAAATCTCTTCACGCGCGCTCTCAAGCGCTGGGCCTGAGTCCTTGACAACTGCTGACAGCAAAGAGCTATCAATGCCGTCCGGCGTGTAAAGCGGGGAGTCTCCCGAGACTTGAAAGCCAAATAGGCTCTGTCCAGGTTGTGACAGGTCGATTAGTATGCGCCGAAGTAGTTCACCAAGATACATGCCGGATATGCGCTTCTCGAAATGCTGATCGTCTGGGTTGACAGAATCTCTGTCCAAGTCTCGGTCGAATCGTGTTGAAGGTAGTACTTCTAACTTGTTGTCAAATCCTCCCCATTCGGTATTCAGCGCCATCATCGCGTCCGATGCCGAAGTTGAGAACTCTACACGTGAGTGCAGCTTGGTGATGCGAGAAACGCGCTCCATGTAGGCTCCGTTGGTGCCGGTTCCGAAGATGGCGCCTACCACATTACTGGAACGCCCCGGAGATGTGTATGCTCGTGCAGCCAAAGTGCCAACGGTATCATTAGCCAGTGCTGTGACCAGGAGAGGCAAGTGTTGCTCGTCGAGAGCCTCCTGCAGCATGGCACATGGGTCGCGGCCGACTGCATCAGCGATACCGAATGACTTTGTCCAGTACAGTAGTGTTCCCTCATTGATAGCATGCTGATCGAAAGTGAAACTGAAAGTGAAGCCAAGGCTCTTGCAGTGCTTCTGTCTTATTTCTTCATTGATTGCATATCTCTCTTTCAGGAGTTGAGACCATGTTGTGAGGTCTTCTGGGTGATGCGTCTCCAGAAACTCCTTCATCTGCAGCGCGATGAATCTAAAGAGATCCTTGTATGTTGGCGCAGCCATCAGGTGTCTGGGAATGACGGCTTTGGACTGAGTCAAGGAGTAGGTGGAGTCTCCATGTAATTCGACAGAGCATACCCTCAAGTTGGTACCGCCAAGATCAATGGCCAAGCAGACGCCCTTTTCGGAACCATTGGGAAGTTTGGTTACAAATGAAGGAATCTGGCACATTGAAGTGCCGTCTTCTTGAAGTCCTTCATCTTTCAGTGATGTCAGTACGCTGCGCGACAGCCCAGAGTTGACTAAACTCACTTAGCTGCTTCAAAAAATGAGTTGTGGCGCGACGAACATCCTCCGGTGGGAAATCGAAGTCATGTACGATTTTTCGGGTCTGAGCTATCAACTCAGACGCCCTGTCATGCTCAAAATCAGTTGAAGACATTGAAACACACCACTCTTCTGACACACAATGTTAGTCGTGGGCTGTTGTTGGTGGGAAAGCTAGGTTCATGGGTGCCAGCGCCTATCAGCAGGTTGGCAACCGATCAAGTATCCAAACCCCCGCGGCAAAAAGAACGACTTTGGCACCGGAACTTGAACCAACTCCTGCAGCTAGGATGCAACCGTTCGGAAAGAAAAGGAAGGTCACCTCTTCGGCGTGTACTGTAAGAACTAAGAACACTCACAGCTGGCGCAGTCTACCACAACCATCGATGCCCCGGTGAATTCGGACCGGGTTGGCTCGGTGGACCGATTGAAATTAGCCAGAAAACCCTCCAATAATAAACCACCGGCCTATCAAGGACCGGGTCCAGGACCCCGCGTCAGCACTCGTCACCCAAATCTTCAAAAAGACCGGTTCCCCGGTGCGACCGGTGAATCTTAACTCTACCCCGATCCCACCTGTTTCACCGGGTAGCCGCCGAAGAAAGCAACAGTGAATCGAACCTGGCCGAAAACAAGGCCGTTGGATACCGGTGTTTCTCGCAATTGTCGCAATTGATACAGTGGGACTCGAACAACGCAATCGAAGTATCGGTGCACAAGCATACCGCTTTCATAATGTCTACTCACCAGATGAGGGACAAAGCGTCGGCCGATGGGCTAGATGACTCGGGCCCGAGCAAGGCCCGGAAGGCATGCGGTAAGCAGATGGTGGACTCCGTCTCATTGCATGCGACTGTAGACGCTGACGGGTGTGCCCACTTCAAGTCAATTGTAGAAGGCAAAAGGTATGTCGGCCTTGGACCTGGCCCTCTGGTGAAGGCGAATAGTCTAACCGACCTTTTCGTGACCACAGATGAAATGTAGAATTGAGAATGGGGCCACATGTCGAAGATGCCTCCGTGCGGGAGTGCCGTGCGTGTTCGTGCCCAGAGCCAATGTAGGCAATTATCCCAGCGTCTCATTCTGTGTTTGTAACCCTCCCAGGACGTGTCTGACGAATCGTCTAGTCCGCGTCTCATCGTGAAAGTCTCTCGCTGGCTTCGTTGATTCAGGCAAATGAGCATGCCCCAGCACTGAATAAATCCGTGTTTCTTCGGTTGAAGCGACTTGAAGATCACTTGGGTCTGCCAGTCCTCACCAACTTGGAAGATGCAGACTCGCCCGCGTCCCCAGATGTACCAACATTCGAACCCGACACACCAGGGGAGACATCGCTTGGTGCTCTATGGAGCGCTGTATCCGTCTTGCGAAGGACATGTTCATCAAACGCAAGCTCAAATATTTGGGAGAAATCCCTGATCAAAAGACTATGGTTATCGTACGTTCGCCCCAGATTCTCGACACCATACCTCGTAGTTGCACCAACACATCTGATACTCCTCCAGCTTCCACGAGTCCATGCCAGGGCTTCACTTCCTCCCAACCAAGCAAACCTTCTCATCGCCGAGACCACTCATGCTAGCTTCAATGTTATACTGCTCAAGTATACGAGGCTTGCCAGAAGTCGCAGTTCTGGCGCCAGACTACTTCAATGTCTTGTGCAGTGCCATTTCACAGCTGTGCATACCACAGAGCGAAGTCGGTCAAGCCCCGGATGACCCAGCTTCAGCTGAAGAATGGGCCTTTCAAACCGTTCTGGGAATCATACTCGCCGGACTGCTACGAGAAGCCGTCGTTAAAGAGACGGGGGTCTGGATATCTCTCGCTTACAGGCTCATTCTCGAGCACTGCCCCTCCAACACCGATGAGCGATCCCGCGAGTGGCAACGCCTGTTTTCTGGCCTTCAGGTAAAATGGACAACTTTTCCCAGCGGTTTTCTACATCTTTCTAACATCAAGTAGATCGTTGACCTCGAGCACGCCTCAATACATCTCTCATGCCCAGTCATACCAATCGAGGCGCCTCTCCCACGACTCAAGATCCCAATACAGGACCAACTCTATCGGCTCTCGAGGATGATGCACACCGGCCTAACTCACTTCACAGGCAGAGGCCTGCCAACGATATGGTCCTGTTTCGAGAGCGAACCTAGCGTATTACAGATATCTTCCGTCCAATTTAGCGGCGTCGACGGCGCTGTCATTCGCGACTGGGCAAGGCAGCTAGACGACTGGCTCGTTGAGTTCAGCGACAAGGACTTTGAGTCGGAGCACGAGAAGAAGCTGGTATTCCGGCAGTATATCCTGCACAGGCTTCTCGTGCTATCCATCTACCACCCTGCTCGAGGATGCAACCTGTTTTCGAACACGACGCCGAAAGAGCAGCATGAGCTGCTTGTGTCAGCAAGAGCGGCGGTCAAGCTTCAAATTCTAGATGCTTCGATATGGTCGAATTGGGATCTCGTCATGATCACCTGGGCTGCTCTCATCGTACTTCAAGGTGTAGACGGTGGAGTAGGAGAACCAGACGGTAAGTCGATGCCCACTTCGTGACTGATGTAAGGGTCCATAACTTATCTGATGATACTTTTTAGATCTTGAGAACGTTGGAGTTCATCTCCAAAAGCTGAAGGAAATGCACGAGCCGAAGCCCAGCTTACGAGGCATTTTAGCGACACGACTGGAACAGAAACTTCAGGGCCTTCATACGCCCGCTTCTGGAGACGCCGAGGTGTTCGAGCAAGAGATCCGGAACTTGGATAATTCATGGTATATCTTTGACCAATCGAGTCTGCAAGCAGGATATGAGCTTTGGTCGTACGAGAACCAGGGAGGATAGCCTTTGAATTCATTCACT